CATTAATAAATATGGAAACAGTAGACTTTGTATGTGAAAAACTCATAAGACGAAACACCGATGTTGGCATTCCTATATCTTTAATAAAAGAGATTCTCTTGAAATGCACAATGAATAATAATAATAATAAGGAACTATTCAGACAAATCAATGGTGTGGCAATGGGGTCACCACTAGGACCCATTCTAGCCGACATTTTCCTTGCGAAACTAGAAAATAGGTCTTTGAAAGATGTTATTGATGAACTTGAATTCTAATGTCGGTACATGGATGACATATTTTTGATTATGAAAAATGAGGATGAAGCTAAGAACATTTAACGAGGTTCATCCAGCAATAAAGTTTACCATTAAGAAACAAAAAGACTCTAGTATTGCATTTCTAGACGTCCTTATGACCAGAAAAGAGGATGGCACAATAAGAAGAAGTGTATATAGAAAACCTACATCAACGGGTCAGTATACTATTTTTTTCAGCTTCTTGTCCTTGAAATACAAACGCAATTTGATAAAGTGCTTGGTTCACAGAGCTAGAACAATCTGCTCGGATGAATGTTTTGATGAGGAAATTAATAATAACACAAGGTCTTAGAAATGCGGTAAAAAGAGCATTCCATGTTGCTAAATTACACTGTGTCTTCAAAACCACTCTTCTTTTGCGTTCAGGAGTTAAAGACAAAATGCCTAATTTCGCCTCTTCTGTGTGTATCTACCAATTTAACTGCCAGTTAGTCGCACAGGCCGTACAATTAGACGTGTTTCTCATCCGATTTCGAACATCACCCTGCGTGGTTAAGCAAAGGGCGAACAAAATCTATTTGTAGCGCTATTCTATCTCATCTTGTGGATACACAACACAAGATTGATGTTAACCAGGCTTTCGAAATCATTTTAGTGCATACCAACAAATCTTAAATTCGCCTTAAGAGTTCGTATACTTAATATTGCTGAGGCTGTTGGGATCCACATTAAGAAGTCTAATTTATGCGTCCAAATGAAGCTAGTTCAGACATTGTCCTTACCTTGATCATTTAGGTTCTAGTGATCCTTAATTTGTTGTGGAAATTTCTTTAATTTTAGTTGATATTCTATTTGCTACTATATTCAAGCATTGGTTTTGTAGGGATTTTGTTTGATTGCATGGAGGATTTAATCATGAGCTGACATCAATTAGAGAACCACTGGAAAACCTGGGAGTACTGGACAGCTGTTTCGTCCTAGTTTGGGACTCTTCAGCAGTACGCACCCACCGGGATTCGAAGCCAGGAGCTTCTGGTTACAAGGCGAGCTCGTAGACCATTGAGCCACTGGGACCCGATCCAATGGTCCTTGAATTCTAACTTCTGCCAATTCACGACATAGCGCGACCACTTCGCAATGTCTTCTTCGATGAGTTACTGCCTCATCTTCAACCTACTAGTACTATATCTTTATTATTATAATTTAAGCATCTTTAATGAACTGTAATTCCATTGATCTTACTTAACAAATCGATATTATTAAGAAAACACTAATACTGTTATTGACTACTATTGTTGAATATTCTATGTATATAAACATATCTATGTATGTAATTGTAGAGCTGGAAGGGGAAATTATGTAAGAGGATGTTTTTTGCTCAATTAATTTGTATTTTATAGATGCCTGAATGAATATTTTCGCTACATAAAAAACTAAAAACAACTAGACATATGCATATTGTAATAGAACACTTTATATAAAGGTACGCCTGAGAGTGCTTTTATGTATTTTATGCTGCAATCTAAGCTTATGAAGCAACACTGAAAAATATGTCCATTTCAAAGGTCTAGCAACGCCTTTTTTCAACTCTTTAAATAACAGAGGAAACACAATTAGTTCATATTGCTGATGAATGTCAAAATAAAGAAAGGAAAATATTCGTTCGACAGACCAACATAAAATTATCATGAAGCTTAGCAGACTTTTTACACTAACAACTAATATTAACTTCCCCCAACCTATTATATTCTCATGTTGAACTTCATAATCTGTCTATAAAAATTTACATTTATAATATGGTAAAATTATAAAGAATGAATGAGGACAATTATATTTAGAGAGTGTTCACCTTTAAAATTGGTATAACAAATATTCCGTCTTACCTTCTACATCAAGGAGTTAAGACATTCTGGAATAACCGAACCCTTACTCCTACAATTTGTTAACTCCCGTATTCTGCCTATTATTCTCTATTGTTCCCCCCTAGTTTTTCCACGGCTACTGAAGAAAGACTATACCTTATTACGCAGGATGTTAAAGGTTATCAGCAGGGTAAGCAGTTTGCCACTTAGCCAGCTTGTTAATATTCTGGTGGACAGGCACATGGACTCATGTGAAAAATGGGCAAAATCTATTTTATCTGACTCACAACACCCTCTACATTCACAACTCTCCCCTTGTATCTCTTCAGGGAAAACCAGAAGCCTATATAGGAAACTATATGCCCGCACTAGCAAGTACAAAAACTCATCCATACCCTACTTAGCTCGTGTTCTGTGCGATAAAGAAAGCACTAGGCGTGAAACCTTTAACTTATTAAATAGTCAGTAGAACAAATGGATCTCGTCTTTCCAAGTCACATCATTTACAGGTACAACGTCTTCTCTCTACCTTTTTTTTCTTTCTGTGTTTATTTTTGTTATGTGCTGTTTTGTTTCTCTCTTCCTTACAAACTCTACTTAAAACATTCTTGTTCGTTCTTTCACACTCTGTATATCTCGACCATTTTGCTATCGCTTACGCCAGTAAATATGCTAGTAGTATCTACTTTTCTAACACCTTCAAACACTGTTTAATTTTGGCTTTGCTACCGACATGCTAATATGTTGTTGTCAAAACTGATTGAGATAACTTTAATCTACGTAGAACTTTATTTATTGTTAATGTACTAATTGGATACAATATTGTAGTAAAATGCTGAGAATTCCATTCTGTATCACAAGTACTGTTTTGGAATAAAGCTATTATCTTATCTTATCTAAAAAAACATGAAAGATATTGAAATTTAGAATTACAATTTCGCATGTTGTTGCTTGGGTTGCTACTTCGAATTGGACACTAGTTAGTAACTAATGGCGATGAATCATGCTCCTGTCGACGCCAAGTAAAATTCCGAGTCGCATCATCCTGGAGAGATTAAAGGACGCACTGGATACAGAACTCCACCTCATCAGAACAAGCTGGATTCAGGAAAGTCAGGCGAATCGTGTTCTGACCAAATCGCAACTCTACGCATCATCATCACAGAACAAAGTATGGAATGGCAATCAAACCCCTACCTCAACTGTATACACTTTGAGAAGGCCTTCGACAACCAGCGTTGACCGCGAAATAATTTGGAAACTACTCGAGTACTACGGCGTACCCCAAATATTCATCAAACTTATTCAACAGCTGTACGACAATCGCACATGTCAACTGATCCACAACGGAAAACTCAGCGAGGCGTTCGGAGTAAACACAGGACTCAGATAAGGGTGCTGGCTTATTATCACCAATGATATTCCTAATTGTGGTGGACTGACTGGATTACGCGTCAGACAGTGAGTGGAAAACGAGAAGACAGGGATATCCTGGACCAACCGACGTGAAGAATCTAGAAGACCTGGATTTCGCGCGTGGATGATTTATGTTTGACGTCACACAAAATCAAAGACTTACAAGCGAAAACCGACAAACTGTTCGAAGAAGCAACTGGCGAAGACAGGACTCCATGTGAAAATAGACAAGACGGAGGTTATGAAAATAACCAACCAACAACAACAACAGAAACATCCAGCGCTAATCACCATCAACGGGAGGTATTTGAAAGAGGTTACTTCATTCACTTATCTAGGAAGCATTGTCTCAACTACACGAGGAACAGACGAGGATGTCAAATCAGGAAAAGAATCGGGAAGGCGAGAAACACATTCACATCAACCTGAAACCAATCTGGAAATCTTCGTCACTTGGCCAGCATCAACAACAAAAATCAGTTGGATTTTCAATACAAACAAACGTCAAGTCGGTCACTTCTTCTATACGGATCAGAAACTTGGCGGGCGGGTCACAAAGAATATTTCCAACAGCCTGTTGCAGACCAGACCTTTATCAACAACTGTCTTCGCTTGATCTATACTGAAGATCAGATGGCCGGGCCGGACCGGACCGGAAAGAATCACCAACAAGAAACTATGGGAAGAAACGAGCAAAACAAGAACAAACCAATCGCCAACCAACAAATATGCAGGAGAAAGTGGATGGAGATGAATTGGACACTTGGTGAGGAGGCTGATGGGTGACATGGGGCGCGCGTCAGACCATTTCTCGAGTGGAACCCGACAGAATGGGAAGCGGCGGCGAGCGGGACGTCAGTGCAAGGGTGACATGGAGGAGATCGTGTGAAGAGGAGGAGTTGAAACAGTATGGACTAACATGGATGGATGCAGGTGACAAGTACAGCAGAAGGAAAACAGAAGCAAATGGAGACGTGTAGTTGAAGCCCCATGTTCCACTAGGAACCCAAGGGAACAATAATAATAATAATAGTAACTAATGCCATGAATATAGTCTTTCGTTCGGTACAGACTGAAATCCATCAGTCAAGTTAACAATATGCCCATCATGCTAGGTGGCTTGCTATCACAGTTCACTCAGAATTGCTTATTAAATTTGTTAGAGGAAATCGGTAGGAAGACTTGGACCTAGCTTTCGTGCTGGCTGGCATTCGTCAGGGAGGCATATATACATGTGCCTCATGTGCCTTTTGAGATTTGAAGCCGGATCACCTATAGCTAATTGCTGTACACGAAAATCAATAATACCAACCAAATAGAATATCCACTCTGATATTTACTATCTGAAGGTAACTAAGTGTCTAAGCGTACAGACCATCCTGTATTATTTATAAGAAAATTATATAACTCATTTTAAAAAAGAAATCGTGGTTAATCCAATTTAAACGCTTTTAGTAAACAATAGAATAATGTTCCAACTCACCTAGAACATTTTGTAACGCCTTGAGCACAGTGAACGAAGATTTATCCCAAAGAGCAGCATTATTATTATTGTTAATATCACGATGATTTATTATTTGAGTTCAGTTATTCGATCAGATAACAATTTTAGGAAAAGGCAGAAAAAGAAAGAAAAAGTAATTACAAAATAACCAATGTTCAAATTTATCACTAATAAGTCAATTAATCAAGTGGACTCCTGGAATTCTTAATATATTTGTGTATAACTTGGGCACTGTGCTAGTAAGTAATTCCATATTAGTTTGTTTATTAGACGTATCACACAGTGTGAAACAGTATTATTTACTGGATGACAAGGTTTCGAACAAATTTCACTATTGTTCATAATCATATCAATCAATTATAATCACACGACTTCGAAACTTGAGTTTTGTAGTTTTCATTGTTCTCTCCTATCTGTCGTTGTTGGGGTAGTAGAATTTTCCAGATATCCGTCTGGGAAAAATGTGGAATTATTCCTATTACACGTATTCACAGTTGATTCCACAAATAATAATATTGATGACATGCATGTCAAAGATTCTCAAGATAATGACAACGCCAACAATAAGGAATCTAAATCGCCAGTAGTAATTCCATACAAGGAAGGAACCTCGGAAACCTCAAGCAGAATTCTTAACAAGGCAGGAATAAAAGTGGCTGGCATTCAAACCAACCACAAACTCAAATAGAAACAAGATTTGTCGGTTAAACGATCAATCCTGTGGAACCTTTAAACAAAACAATTTGTCAGGTCAAATACATAGGTCAAAGTAAGTAGAATAGGTGCAGTCAGACTAGCCGCGTATAAAACCTAGCTAAATCTAGATTAGTTGAGCCGAATAAGATAAGAAATCTAGAGAATAGTTCAGCTATAGCACTCACCACATACAATTATACATAACCATACAATGGAATGATGGGATAAGATGACAGCTTTAAAATCTAATGTCACAGGGTGGAGGTAGAGATTGATGACAGCGGAAGCTTTGTTTATCGAATCAACTGCAAATGCGTGTAATAGGAATGATTCAACACCTGTCCCAGACGGATATGTGGAAAATTCTACTTCCCCAACAACGACAAATAGGAGAGAACAATGAAAACTACAAAACTCAAGTTTCGAAGTCGTGTGATTATAATTGATTGATATGATTATGAACAATAGTGAAATTTGTTCGAAACCTTGTCATCCAGTAAATAATACTGTTTCACTGTGTGATACGTCTAATAAACAAACTAATATGGAGGGGAATTCGCATATCCAAACGTAGAGAGGAAAACTTCAGCATACAATGTTTCAAAATAAGATGGAACAGTTTTAGATTGTTATCTATTAGTCAATAATCTCTTAATGTGAACAGTAGTTCATGAAAAAGGACTCCTTGAGAAAGAGAACACCGCATCATTTACTAAAATCGCCAACTATTTTATACACTAATGTAAATCTGCTACTTTAGGACAGTTGTGATTGGTTATTTTAGGTACCTGAATTTAACTTAATCGATAGCTGATTGAAAGCCACTTAACTATTCCACACGGCAACCTTCATGTAGTAAATATAGCTGGAAGTTTGATAAATACTTGTATTACTCTTTATATATTGACAGTTACGACAAGCTATTGCATATGAAACAAAATTTCTTTCACTTGCTTCAGTGTGATACAAAAAAGCAGCACAAAAGTAAAACTTGTAATAATGACATAGTTAACAAGGTTAAATAGGGGATTATTCCGGGATGCAAGATAGTTATCAGAGAAATTAAATGCTTTATTGGTGCTACCTACATCTTGGCTTCATATATATCTGGAATTAAAATTTTTTTTGGTTGTCACTAGTGTGTGAAACCAGGATGGATGAGTCACATCTAATCTACCTAAATATACAAACCTGTCGATAACATCAAAATATTTTTTTAGTTTCATTTTTTTAATTTTGATTATAGCTTCACTCCACATCGTAGTTTTGGTACAGGTATGAAATTTCCAGTGTGTGATATCAGCAGCCCAAATTTTGCAGGCCGACCATTGATATCAGGTGTGCGTCGGCAGGGAATCGAACCCCGGACCATGTGCATGATCGGCGAGAGTCCTAACCTCTGTGCCACCGACGCACATTAATAGTATTAGTAGTAATGTATACACAGAAATAATGCACCCACAACACTACAAGTGGCAACTATTATTCACCCCCCCCCTCTCTATCTAGCACACCACTTCTGTTAATGAAAGAAATTACCACAGACCTTGTGGGTGTGTTTTATTCTATCTTCTAATGTGTACGTAAGTGCAATTCATTAACTATTTTGTTTTACACACCAATGCTACTACCATTCGGTACGTCCTTCCTTGAATGACAATTGCCTTTGTATTGTTACCTTTGTGTGACTGCATTACTTCGTTTATATTTCAAAAACAGATATTTTTTATTCCTTCACGTCCCCAGTGGAACATAGGGATTCAAGCTAGAAGCTTGAAGTTTCTGTAGCAGTGTTTATTTTGACAGGATGGGGTTGCTAACCTCATGCCCAACCTTTCCTCTTTACCAGCTTTTGTTTCTGGCTTAGCGAGGTAAAGGAGTGCGTCGGCCGGAGATCGAACCCCGGACCATGTGCATGGTCGGTGAGCGTCCTAACCGCTATGCCACCGACGCACACAAAAACAGATAAAGTTTGTATGATTAAATCACCTTGTGTTTCAACTATTGCGAAGCCTAAACTTTGTGCCAGCAGAGTTGATAGTGAGAACTAAAAACTGTAGGTAAATTTAATCCTACATGCCGGCTACCACCTTAGACACCACCCAGCTGTTTCCACCTTAATTCTATTATTGATCATAGATAATTTCCCACATGAAAATGACTTATTTAGCCGTATGGCTCATAACGTTTTTGCACTTTATCTTCAACTTTTGTGTCAATCACTCGATATCCTGGACAAGAGCACAGTTGGAAATATTCATGCAACTTCAAATACGCTACTTTAAATTGTATATTCCATTTGTTATTTTGTAACTACGATAATAGTGAAATCCCAAGATAATATTTAGTGATACTCTTGCCCTAAACTTAGAAATATCTAACAGCAATAGTACTAACCGTAGTAGAGAAGCAAGATGAGGAAGGTGATGTGAGTAAAGGAGAATGATGCTCAGGAAGGCTTCGTGTGCTTTAGGAAGTGTGTGGGCGGTTTTTACTTCCCGGCTGCCCACAGTGTGGAAGTTGATTGATTCTTCGGGTACCTGAAACAGAAAGAGGGTTAGTGTTGTGTGACCGCAGAGCCCAGAGGACAACTGCTTGAGGCCAGCCGGTCACACATGGCCTGTATGAACTGGTTTCTGAGATTGGTTCCGTATTAGTAAACTTACCGCCGGTTACGGACCACCGTAGGGTAAATCAGGATGTACAGTTTTTGAGGTCGACCTTTTCTAACCCCCTCTCTCCGGAGTGGAGAGACAGCATAGCTGGCATGCTGTTCATCTGAGGGAAACACCTCACTGCTGTTAAACCACTGTTCCTCAGCAGTACGACTTCGCCCTCAGACTTCCAGCATAGGGTAAGAAAGATTCTTACACAATGCCGGTAACTGCTTTTAGTCTAATCACTATGCTAACAACCTTCCGGGCATGGTAGGATATGTAGGAACTATAGTTCTAGCCAGTGCAGCTTGTTGAGTCATCGCGATGTGCAAGCCCGACCACCACGTCAAGGTAGCAGCTATCGGTCAGGTCTAACAGCAATAACCGATTAATTGATATGCAAAACAAATTAACGATTTTAAAAACAGTGAAATTACATTCAGTGAAAGAATGTCAGAGAACACACTTAGTAATTATTATTATTATTGGGGAAAAAATCGATTGACAAAACGTAAGCCAGTAATATTATTCAATACACAATAGTGAAAAAGAAGAATAAACACCTCACAATCGGTGAAACGAACAGTCAAGATGAATGAAATACTTCAGAATAAAAAATAATAATCTAATATATCAAAAAGGTTACCTCTGATATTTCTTCAGGAGATGGAATAACAGCTTGAGGATCTGTAACAGAAATAGTAGGAAAATAACACTGAGTTAATGTGTAAAACTTTAAGGATAGAAACAAACTGTTGGGGAAATGAAAAGTACTAAACAACCATTCCTACAAAGTTTAGTATTCCTCAAAAGTGCGTACGTACAAACATCCGATTTTAGAATATATATTCTGAGACTGTGATAAAACCAAGCCCAAAATAGAAGGAAACAAATATGTAGTGCTACAATTATTCTAAGGTTGATGTAGGCTCACTGCAAGACACGACCTCCTTATTAGTATTATTCCATTGGTTTCTAAGTGGAACATAGGGCTTCAACAAGACATCTCCACTTTGTCCTATCTTCTGTAGTCCTCTTCAACTAGGACAACGATTGCCCACAATCTCTCATCTCCTCCGCCCCCCCCCCAAGAATCTCCTCCATGTCACCCTCGCACCGACGACCTACTGGTAGCTTCCCATTGGGATTCTACTAGAGGCATTGCCTGGCGTGCGATGTCATTCGGTGGCCTCCTCAATGTATTCCCGATCCATCTCCACTTTTTCCTACATATTTGTTGGGCGGTCGGTTCTTGGTTGGTTTGTTACCAGCCAGAGTTTCTTGTTACTTATTCTTTCCAACCGTTTGATCTTCACTACTGAGCCGGCAAAGACAGCTGTTGATAAAAGTCTGCAGTGGCCTGCTTTGCGTAACACGCGGTGCAAGTTTCTGATCCGTATAGAAGCACTAACCGACTTCACATTGGTGTTGAAAATCCGAATCCTGTTCCTTATGCTGACTGAGTGAGGAAGAATTCCAAACTGGCTTCAGGTTGATGAAGGCGTATCTCGTCTTTCCAATTCTGCCGGACTTTGACATTTTCGTCTGTGCCATCCGCCAGTAATTGAAACGATGCTTCCCAGGTGAAGGAGGCAACCTCTGTTGAATCTCCCGCCTAGTTAACTAGCTTACTAGTTTTCTAGCCGGTTCCAAACCCGAGTAAAGAGGGATGGTTGGGCATGGAGCTAGCAACCCTACACCACAAAAGCTATCAGACTGTTATAGAAACTTCAACGCACAAAAAACATATTGAAAATACAAAAAAATTGAAATAACACGACCCCCTAGTAGTATAAAATTACGGAATGCATAACTGTCAATTGGCATACTCGATAGCTTAGCTCCGGTCATCATACAACGACCAAATCACATACTTTAAAACCAATTGGTCACTTCAAACTCTTTAGATGAAAATAAAATAGCATGTGATACACACTCATCTACTAAAATGGAATTCATTTGTAACAATGATACTGAGAAAAAGTAAAGATGATAAAAATAAGGCAAGATAATTCGTATATGAGTTTTAAAAAATGGATTGAACGACTGAGTGTATGATTATAAGATTATAAAGACAAGTTAGATATCCCACCTGGTATCGTTTCATATTTTATGCGAGGGCATGAATATTGTTCGGATGCCCAGATAGGTGATTGCCTTTAAAGGACCGCGAGCTTTTCACTTGAAAACTGACCCATGAAGTCAGGAGCTGCGTTTCTATGGTTGCTGAGGATCGAAACAGGTTTGTATACAATTCATTCTTTTTGGACCCCATGTCCACTATAGATTTAGAATCAGGATTCTTCAACTTCTCTACATGAACTCTCTGTATCTAACAACCTATTAGTGAGTGTAGGACATATACATTCACCCCTTTAATTTTGTAAGAACACCTCAAGGCTTGTAGGCAGTTGGGCAAAGTTAAACTTAAAGCACCACTAACTACCAATCAGCGAATGACCTCGAACGCACCAATCACAGGAAGAAGGCATTTTTGTGTATGGAATACACATATTTATGAAAAAGATGCATAAAAACTGCATAAAAGTTTTACAGATGATACCTTGCTCTCACATTTCAAAAAAATAGGTATCAGTTTTAGGTCGGAGTATCAACAGAGTATAATCCCATTGTAGGCAAAATTTATTTTGATAGTCTCATAGTGTAATACAGTAATATTTAGTGGGCAATAAACTGTGCTCGAAATGTCATCAGTAAATTTTACTGTATAATATTGTGAGAATTTATCAAAATAGATTTTACCCACATTGGAATTACACTCTACCACAGTCCACAAGTTCTATTCTTATATCAACAGAGTAATTTAACCACATTCTATGCATGTATTTATCTAGGTCTTCTAACACTAACAATCACCTTAATCTTTCCTGAACCTAACCATAACGTGAAAATACCCCTTAACTAACTGTAATCTAACTCAAACCAACCCTAATGTCGCCTTTATTAGGCTAACCTAAACCTCACTTGTCAATGGCTTAAAGCGTAAGTTAATCTTTCCCAAACCTAAGATGAAACTTGCCAGAAATCCCATTTAATAGCATAACACTTAGATGAGCATATTTTATTGATGATGACAACAATATTTGCCAGGTTTCACTAACTTGCTCAGTGGGCGTTTCAAGGTCATTATGGCGGTCGCACTCCATTGGTAGTCGGTGGTGCTTAAAGCTTAACTTGGCCGGCAGTTGATGGGACTTATTTGACAGAGGCTTAACCGCATGAGGTCATTTCGCGGGAAGGCTGGAGTTTTCTCAATCTTAACGGGTCATTTATCGCGGGGGGGGGGGTGAAACTAATTAGATTCACTAGTACTAAGCTCTAGTACTCGTTATTCTTATTCTAGACTGAATATCTTTCACTCACATTTTAATAATTACTCTAAGTGACAAAGAGGAAACTTAGTAAACCAAGTTAGTTAAGTTATAATTTGGAAATCTGAATCGCCATCAACAGGTATATGTTCCAAATACATAAAGAAAATTCACAATAAAATTAAACAGCGAAAATAAAGGTCAAGGTGAGAGTATGACATGATCAAAGTATGATCAAACTAGCAGGGCTACACACATTATCACTGATTCATAGGATTTCAACTACAATCAATTCAACTATTATCTCAATAAAAAGTAAGTGATCGCCAGTCTTCCACTAAATCTTTTACTTAACTGTGTTTCTTATCGCAGTTTAGACTAGCTTTGAATAGACAAGAGGGAATCAAAGATGGCTTTGATCCCTTAAAAGCAAGACCCAACAAACACAGAAACAGATGACAAATTCAAACTAATATTTTAACATCTTGACACACATCATGACACCGACATTAAAAGCTGACTGACACACTGGCTAACCGACTGACTAACTAAGTGAGCAACACAGGACTATGCACAAAAGTAGCTCATTGCCTTAAGAACTTGACTTTTAGTCAATGGGTCTCGGGTTCGAGTCCCACTCCACCTACTTCAACCTGAGCAACTGCATCGTATCACTGATCCTCACACAATAAATCCCGTAATAACTATGCACAAAGTCTAACAGTTCAGATTACCATAGACAGGAAAAACATAGACAAAGACTGTCCAAATCTGCTCGCTGAGCTAAGTCAAATGTTACCTTCAATTCGATAAATATGACAGATACTGGAGAAAGTACTACAAGTGAACAACAGCTTTTAATAGTAGCAGACCAGTTCCTGAAGGTTGAAAATCAAACGATGACAGCATCCATACCGTCGACAGCAAAACTAAATAAGAACAGTGAAACTAGATACTAATGAGGAACTTCAATAGTCGTCAACACTCCAGACAACTCATACACTTCATACACCGTGAGTTTGAATGTCTTGTTTTGATTAATATATCTCCAAGGCATTTCCCTTGCAGTCAGACAATGCCACAACAACTACCTGGTCATAAACCACCTAAAGACCGAAAAGTACGGAAAGTGCTGAACACCGTCTGCGTGCCGCAACCTGGTGAAGGGTGAAGATTTGACCAACGCAACATCTTCAGGACCTGAAACCTCGCAAGTCTTCGTTTAGCCGTCACAACTACGGATAGTAAGATCTTGGTTGTTATATTGTTCAAGCTTATCTCTCTGAGCTAATCAGAAGATGTCTGCCTTATTACAAACTAGGAATAATTGACGATATACATCAGTATGATAACTAGAGGGCCGATAGTGTAAATACAACTGTAGTCAACTTTAAGTGTGGTCATTATCTTCAAGTGAATACAGTACTCAATGACTTATACGTCATATATATAGCAAATTTCAAAAATGGGCAAGATTATTTCTTAAAACTTTTCAACTTTGTTATGATATTTTCGAATACCTCTTGACTCAACCCTGTTCACAATTCACTTTCTCATATAATAGTGTTTGTTTTCTGTTTCAAATCATTTTCTGTGGTCTAATACAACTAACTTTAGAAATTGCTTCCGTTGCTAATAGTAACGAGAGGGTTGTACGCACATCAAAGTTTAGAAAACCCGCCTTATGACTTACTCGGGATTGGGACAGTTTCACCATCATGCTGAGGGACATTTTCCTTCTGGATAGATTTAGGAATATCCTGACCGTTTACCATTGTAGAAGACGGGGGATTGGATGGCTGAGTAACTTCAGCAAGATTATTCTGTTTCACAGAAGCTTGGTTATCTGGCTTGGGATTTTGTGGATTTTGTTTGGTAGATTTCTCAGGTTGAGCATCATTCGGTATATTTGATTGTGATTTTGTGTTATCATTTGGACCATCTCCTCGTGCAGATGGTTTCAGATCGGTTTTTGAATTAGGTTTAGATGAGAGACCCTTACTTCCATTTGCAAACGGATTAGACAGTTCATCTATCTCATCCCAATTAATTTTGTAGGCACCTACGCCACTAACGGGTCGATCGTCCATTGTTTAGATGAACCTGAAAAATGAAAACTTAGTCACTTAGAAATTGCCATCACCATCATTATTAACTAACAAACTGCCAATAATAGGGGAAACACTTGTTGGATAGGCGACACCTAGCGCACGGACATGAAACTCCCTAGAGTGTATGAAAACAGCCACATAAAGTAACTTAATAACTTGAAGAAAAAATGAAAAACGAGAATGAAACTGCTTCATTCTGTACAAAATAAGAAGTTTCCGAAAAGTAATAATGTCTCATTCCAATTTCTTTGTTCAACCAACCACACCACACTGTGTGGGTGGTTTAACGGTAGAATGCTCAGCAACCATACACTTGTTCCGGGTTCGATTCCCAGACAACACATTCTTAAACCTCGCATTGTCCATAGTAGACTGGTAGAAAAAGAAGGTTGAACGTGAAACTAGCAACCCCACCCCATAAAAAATACTACTGCCACTGAAAATTCAAAGCTCAGACTTAAAGTCCTATATTCCACTCGGAACACGAAGGAATGAAAGAACCACATCTGCCACTATCGATTCCGTTATATATTCACCCAAGTCATTACAATCTTATTATCATGAATCTTTATCCCACTCAACTTACATTCTAACTGGCTTTTGCGACTACTGACACAGTTAACCTTACTGTCTTCACTGTATCCTCAATATGCTGGTATGAAGTGCAAAAACTCCAATAAGCATACAATTGTGCCTACTAAGTGGATTTCGTTTACCGGTTATTAGAATCTCTGTGATTAGAGTCACAGCTGGAAACTAAACAAGTACACTAGTATCCCAGTATATTTATATTTATAAACTAGTCACTGTTTCTAAATATATATAAGAATAATTCAAGTCAAAAATACCGATAATTAAGTTGCGTAAGAACTGAATTAACTGCAAATACGTGTAATTTATTTTATTTTTGATTATAGCTTGATTCCACATCATATTTTTGGTACAAGTATGGAATTTTCAGCATGAATATCAGTAGCCTAAATTTTGCAGCCCGACCATAGATATCAGGTGTGAGTCGGCAGGGGATCGAACCTCGGACCATGTGCATGGTCGGCGAGAGACCTAACCACTGTACCACCGACGTACACCTCTCCACCCAGACATCTGGAAAATTCTACTACCCCAACAATGACAAATAGGAGAGAACAAAGAAAACTATAAAACTCAAGTTTCGAAGTCGTGTGATTATAATTGATGAAATGATTATGAACAACAGTGAATTTTGTTCGAAACTGTCATCCAGTAAATAATACTGTTTCACACTGTGTGATACATCTAATAAGCAAACTAATATAGAATTACTTACTACCACAGTGCCCAAGTTTTACACACTTATTAACACACCTGTTAATAATAAAACCGCTACACTTCTGGACACCAAATTTAGCAGTACAATCAACAAAGAATACTACTTTGCAATTAATTTATGATATTTTCTACATGCAAGAAGCAATGTGATTGGTTAGTAACCCAATTTTAACTTTCATTGGATCTCAGTTAATTGTAATACAGACTAAAAAAGCACTCCAGATTACAACTGAGTTGATTAAAAAATTCAACTTCAGAGGAAGTTCATAAAAAGAAATCGTTTACATAGTATCAGAGATTGTGAAAAACCAAAAGCTATGCGAATGTTGTTAGCTTATGAATCTATATCTCTCTTTTACGTAAGAAATCGCCATAAAAAACACAAACGAAATTTTTTTCAAAAGAATGGTTACTGAACAAAGAATATTCTTTTCGATAACTTCATCATGAGGAACACAATAATGACTCAATTCAATGAAGTACATTCTACTGTGAAATTCACATACAAAGAGGAATCCCAAAACAGAATTGCCTTCCTAGACGTCTGCCTTACAAGAAAACCATATGGAAGCATAAAAAGAAATTTGCATAGAAAAACTACTTGGACAGGACAATATACACATTTTCACAGATTCGTTCCTCCCCAGTACAAAAGAAATTCAGTAAAGACCCTCAGTCACAGAGTTAGAGCTATATGCTCAGAAGAGGTAATTGAAGATGAACTAGGGAATGTATACGATACACTCATTGGAAATAGATATCCAGACAAATTCATCAGGAGACACATAGCTAAGAGTGTTGAAAAGGACTACTCACTATCCGTAAACAAGAAGTCTTTATGCATGCGACTGCAATTCGATGGCGATATATCAAGCGAAATAACTATGAAACAGTTAAGAAAATCAGTTCAAAGAACTTTTAATGCTGGCAAACTACAAGTCTTATTTTCTACCCGACCGATTCTGATTCCTCGATTGAAAGATGAAGCACCTAGACTAGCCACTTCTAGTAGTACCTACCAATTCAACTGGGCTTGTGGAGCGAGTTATATTGGCCGTTGCTCTAGGAACTTTATTTTTCGTGCTCACTCGGGAACATCGACCAGTGAGGTTAGATAAAGGTATAGCAAAACCATCAACAGTTTGATGTTAGAACACCTGGTTCGAACCGGCCACGAAGCCAGCATTGAAGAATCCTTCTCTATCATCTACAACGCACCAAAAGGATTGCCAAAAATATACAGGTGCCGCATGCTCCAAAAAGCAGAGGCTACCACGATTCACCTGAAACAATAGATGCTTTGTGTGCAGACGAAACAAGTCCAGCCATTACTGCTGCCCTGACCCTCAGTGGAGACTATAAATTCATGAATCTGTATCATTATTTTTCCTAATTTTTCTGATATCCAGTGTATTGTACTGTTGATGCTATGGAACTGAGATCCATTAATATTATTATTGATCATGTTATTCACTTACTATATATATATATATATATATATATATATATATATATATATATATATATATATATATAATAGCTGTCTTCTACCGACACTATCGATAGCCTATAAAGACAATTTACTTTAGTTCGTCCTCGATTTGATAATAGAGGTCATCAGGTTTGGTGACGTCCTGAAACTGATGCTAACCAGGAATAGAGGAGTATCTCGACAGATACGTGGAAAACGACTAACGTTGTCGGTTAGTCAGCATGGGGCTCCACATGTGACACCAATATAATACAGCCTCTAGTGCTAAAGTAACTAAATCTCAGAGTTTTGCTTTCAACAGCAAAATAAGCAGCTTTTTACAGAAATCATTCTTTGCTTCGTCCGAACTGCAGTCATCTGTAGCGTAAGCAGAGGTTATGAAAGGACATCAACGGCTTTTACAATATTTTTCTTCCCGCAGATGCAGTCAAGCTGCAATTATTCTGTCACTAATGTTCAACGTATGCCTATACCATACACACAAACCAACTGAAGAGCCTTCTGACACCTGTGAGGCGAAATATGCAGATTTATCGAGTTGACCAGGTGGATTCAAGTGAATAAACACACAAATTGCATATACATCTGTATCCCGAGGCGCCGGAGTTCTAGTTGTGCGACTCAGAAAAAAGTTGTGACATAATGGTTTAACAAATTAGCAGTGTCTCCTAGCTCATGTCGCTATTATTGGTCACAGAATCAAGTCAAGGTGGAAAACCTACCTCAAGAATGGTGCCAGCAGTGACAGAAAAGCAAGATGAAAGTGGGTGGTGATTAGGAGGGCTTTGTGTGCTACTGAAAGTGTGGGCAGTTACTACTTGCCGGTTGCCCAAACTATGGAAGTTGACTGACTGAGTTTCAACATAGAACCTTGCACAGAAGTGCAGCAGTTCAGGTTGCCATACGCCATATAGCATACAAGGGTAGACAAATGAGACAAAAACAGATTCATATAATCTTACCACTAGCTAAGGATCGCCTCAATTTTTGGGGCTGACTTTCAATTTACCAGAGGGGAAAGGCAGCCAAAGGAAAACAACTTACCGTGTTTTCATCCCCATTCCCCAGAAGTACGAGTTCATCCTCAATCACCCACCCAACCCCCTCTTGTAAGCTACTTACGCTATATTGGTGATGGATTTTAGTCTGACCACTACCCAAATGGCCTTTCTGGTGTAGTGGAATCTGCGAGAATATTCATTCCAGCCACTGAAGCTCGCTGGTCCATGGAGGTACGCAAGTCTGAACAAGACATCAGACTGGCGGCTATAAGACTCCTGTTTTGTCCTAGTTTTGGAGTCTTTGGAAATGGACATTCATTTACGACCAAACCCAAAACCTTCAGATCACAAAGGGAGAAAATTTACCACTCAATTAACGAGTTGGAATTCAACGAGAAACGGTGGATATCACTGTATACCAGGACGGGACAAGTATCCAGTGCTTTTTCTAATGACTCCTTAGCGAAGCTAACAATTAAGTGACTGACGTTCAAAACTTTTACAGTGATAAAGAGTACATATGTACTACTTTGAGTTAAGTCACCAAGAGCCTTCAATCAATAATTCTTACGTGGATGCCATCCAGAAAAAAATACTTCCTACAGACTCTTTGACTGATGACATGTATAGTAAAAAAAAAACATTACTTTAAATAACATTGCTCTTCAACGAAAGCTAGTTGTGTGAAACATCCGACTACATCCATAGGCAAAAATTTACCTCTGGAACTGATCTGCTTTTAACATTTTAACCTCATTTAACACTAAGTTTAGTTTTCAACATTATTGTGGTCCCGCCTATTTTTATTAAAGATTTTATTCAAAGTCAGACTTCAAATATATGAGTAAAGATTATTTCCCCTACGGTTGCATCTTCACTCAGTTAAATTAACGTTTGTTTTGAGGTGTATATAACCCGAATACTTTATCGTGAAATATATTTGTACATATAGTAATCGTCAACAGCCACCTGGTTAATGTGCACTATATTTATATAAATTTCCACTGGGAACGAACCGTCGAAAACAGACAGACAGTTGGAATTGGATTGCAGTAAGGGAACATCTGCTTACCACATTAAAATTCCTAAAACATCCTAGACGAGGTTTATTATCTTCTTCTACCTGTGTCACAATTTAAATCAGCACCTCGGACTGCTAAACTTGTAATTTTGGGTATTTGTAGTGTAATTAGCTGCTTTAAGTAACATTTGTCGCAATGACAGACGAAAGATATCAAAACCAGCAGGCAGATAAGTATCTTCAAAGGGGAGGGGAATGGAACGTTGAAATTATACGAAAGATATGCCAGTGGTAAATTTACAACTATTCCATCTAGTGTTAGGGCTACTGCGTCAAATCACACACCACGTTTTGGAACGCATAGGACAACTGTGAGTCTACAGATTTACGCATTTGCATCAGACAACCATACATTAAGGGCTGGTTTATAGTCCTATCAACACTTAAGTTATACGATACAAACAAACATTATGCTATAATGGTTGCTTCAAAATGAAGACTTAGCACTGAAATCCGAAAATTGGTCTCCGAAAATTAAATACTTCTTTATGAGTATGTTATTTAAGCTGTGCTTGAGTTGCGTGAACACGCTAATTACAGTTATTTGATATTCAGATTTGAAGACGAATCCTTGTCCCAGCTCCCTAATGTCCCATGTCTCTGAGCACTTACAGTTAAGTTGATATTCAAACTGGTCAATAGCCAAGTAAGGTTGCCAGTCAGTGTCACCTGAAATTGACAAAATGTCTTCAATGCTTCATATTAATTTGTTTATTAGATATATCACACAGTGAAACAGTATTATTTACTGGTATCCATTACCAGTAAATAATACTGTTTCACTGTGTGATGTATCTAATAAACAAACTAAT